AAGTCCAAATTCCTTAATATATTTAAAAACTTCCAATCTGTGCCCTACGTATCTCTCTCATCCTTCATCACTGCATCCTACACTCTGGTCATACAAAACCACTATAATCAGGGTGCTACTTTTAAGACTTCATTACCAATTCCACTGTTAGGTAAACCTGTCTTTCTTCATGTGGTCTCATAAGCTTCTCCTGAGTTAGTGGAGAGATATCTTCAGTATCTTTCCTGAAAACCTCTTCACATTGCTGAGTTTAATGCCTCTCTTCTGTTCCCACAGAAGTTCCTGCCAATCACTCCCTGCTATTGAAGGGCACGTGCTGTCTCATTTATATTTATAATCCCAGTGCCTAGAACAAAACATATACCCAATAAATATCTGTTGAATAACAAAGGAGACATGAGTGACTGATCACTGGATAAAATCCAGAGATCTGAACTAAGCATTCAAGATCCTCTGGAGTAGAGGTCTAATCTAGTGTTTCTCAAACTTGAATATACCCTAGAATCAGGTGAGACACTTCTAAAAAATACAGATGCTGGGTATCCATTCCAGATGTATTCAATTAAAATTTACAGAAGTGTCAGAAAAACTACATTTATAAAATCTCTTTGTAATTAAATTGACCCATCATTGCACTCATTCTTAAAAAGAAATTCTACAAGTATTCCATTCATTCTTACATCAGCCCATTACAGAGATTTATCATGACTTATTTCTTTGAATTTATGTTTCATAATTATGTAAAATTCAAGTGTAATCTTCTAATGTTTGATTCCAAGCGAAATGTGGATGAGAATTCCTTCCCCATGAGCCTCAGGGCAGTCTGGTTATGCATAAGCTGACAACTGCCTTTGACACTCCCTCTTCAGTAAGAAGTCCGGAGTAGAATATTGACCATATACCTTTTCTCTGGGGGAATACTTTGTATTCTATGCAAAAATATTCTTCCGTTTGACTAAATGTAAGTAAGTGGATAAATATTACACAAAAATATTCTTCCATTTGACTAAATGTAAGTAAGTGGATAAATATTACACTGGATTATTTTACTCTTTTGTGGTAATTCACAAAGTATTTATAGTTCAATAATGCTCCAACAGAGTCGCCCAGAAATATTTTCCAAGATGCCTACTCATTTGCAGTTAGGTCAGCATGATGTAATCAAAAAACTATTGGGAGGAAAACAGGGGACTCAAAGAGGGGTGGGGAGGAGGGAGTAATTTGGTTTGGTTTTGCACTTTTCTAGTTATATGCCATTGCACATATAATACATATGGATCTCTGCTTCCTCTCTATAAAAATAAGAAATGGGTTGTTGTGAGGTTCAAATGAGATAATTCATGTGAAAGTAAACATTTAAAAATACTAACCAGAGTTTGAGTATTACTTTCATTTTTTTAAACCAGCAGATTGTCTTGGGTTTTTCTCCCTTTTCTTATTTCTGAACCAATAATTCCTGTATCTTTCTGGAAACTAAATTTCCTACTGAACCTCTACTCTAGTAGTCTTAGCAAGGCACTAGTCTTTTGAAAAACTCTGTTCCTGACAAACATTCCTTCCTTTAAATGGAGAAACTGAGAAAATGACATATATCCATGACCTCTCCAATGCTCTGGTTTTCTTAAGCTTTTTAAGTTACTCACATTTCAAATATAAAAGTTGGAAATTGGTAATAGCTATAAAAATTAAAATATATTAGAACTCTCATAATATTCATATTTGAATGCCAGCATCCACAATAATGCAGCCATAGCAAATAAGCATATAAAAACAGTGATTGGCATAAGAAGGCAAAAGAAGTGGTCCCGTAAGTGGAAATAACAGCAACCTTGCAAAGTTAGGTTCATGCAGACCAGCAAGTAAGAACCAAAGCTTTACCACGTAAGGGCTGGAAAAATAAAAACTTTAAAGGATAACAAAATGTAACATCTATTATACTAACCGGTTTATACAAAAAATAAAAAATACTAATTCATGTATAAAATGTGTAAGACTTGCTATTATAACATTTATAAATAATTCTGTATCAAAATAAAAAGGCTATTATGAAAACAGTATATATACACATAGTAATTAAAAAAACACATACATACATTTCTATTGATCAAAGATATATGCAAAATTAAGAAAAATAGATGTTACAAAATATGCTAATTTTAAACAAAAGGCTTTAAAATATTTTTATAAACTTGTCTTAAATTTGATAAAATTCTGGATTTACTATTTTCCAAAAATATTTTTGTGACTGTGATTTTACACTAAAACAAGTGTGGCATTTTAATTGTAAATAAGCTTCATTATAGTTTCATGTATAAAAATAAACAACTATATGCAATTGAAAAAAAAAAAAGGATGGTACCTTGCTTTCTCTTTTGCTTATACCTGTTCAAATATTGAAATACCACTATGAAACTACATGCATATTTTCTACTTAAAAGTAAATTAGTGTTCAGAATCTCATTATTTTTCCCTATATATTTTCTTTAATTATCAATTTACAGGTAAAAAGGAAAAATAATTCACCTACAGAAAAAAATTCTAGGGAATCAGCAGGTAATTACAATGGTAATTCTACCACTAGGGAAGGCAAATAATTATCACAAAGTTTAAGACATGGTCAGTATATTTTTCTATTAACATTTTTATCCTAGGTTCTCAACCTTTTCTATTTTCTTCTATTTTTGTGAAGAATTTATTTCATTTCCATACAGCTTTGAGGTGCTGGAATAGTTCAAACAAAGAACATACATGAGGGCATGAGAGAACAACCCTGGGTAAAGAGTTGGTACTGAGAATTTACTGAATAAAAGTAAAGAGAATATAGATATAGCTAGTTTTAACAAAGAGCAGGGAAGCTGTCTCTGGAGATATAATCATGTAAAGTTTTGAGAAATTCCGAACTTAACAATTCAAACTAAGCATAAAAGCACAAATACAAATGATGTTTTGGATTATCTGTGCATAGGCTATAAAAGTGTACCTTAAATATGCATGATTTTTATTGCTTAATCTTAATGATATAAAATTTTCTTTCCTGTTGTATTAACATTGTGCACTGCTTTTTGTTTCAGGCAAATATACCAAGGGAGGAAAAAAACCAGAAACTTATTGTCCTCAAGGGTCAAATTAACTTAATTTGCAGACTTAAAGGCACAAAAGTTATCATTCATCATTTTGATAGAACTTAAGAGTTCAAATTGTAACTTTTTAAAGTTCTGTGATTCCCTATTTTCTATACCACTTATGAGTACACCATATAAGTATCATAATGGCACTCTTACTTATTACTTACATAGCCTGCAAGACCTGGAATACTAAGTTTAAAATTTAATTTGGTTCAAAAACATGTGCACACATCCAGCTGAATAAATGAAGTACACAAATCTCTATGTAATAATTTTCCACAGTGCTTTAAATTTTATGGTTCATCTTAGGAAAAAAATATTTCTGGATTATTTTTAAATCCTAGTTCTAAACCATAAATGTGACAAATCTCTCTAGGTGGACTTGGATTCTTGAGCACAATCAACATGGGTGTGAATCCTAACTTGCCACCTATAAGCTATATGATCAAAGATAAGTTATTCAACCATTCAAAGCTCCTACTTCCTAATTTGCAAAATGTGTTAATAACTGTACCTACTTCATAGAATTTTTCTGAGGATTAAACAGGATTATGTATGTATGGTACAGCAAAATGAGTTTCTGTAATATAAATAGTATCATATACAACTAGAAAATAAGAAAAATATATCAGTGTTATCACAAAAATCATTTGGGTTCCAATGTATTTTTTCCTGGGCCTGTTTATTTTTGAGTCACCAAGTAACAACAGCTTAACACAAAATACGCAAAGTCAGCTAAATACAACAGAGCCAAGGAAGAGTGTAAGGGAATTAAAAAATAATCGAATGCTTTCGAAGTTGTATTATTCAATAAGTTATATAAACAGTCAATAACCTCATGTTTGTGCGACTTCTTCATAGCCTTGAGGAAATGAAGGAACACATCACAGCCACCACTTCAACCAGTGACAAAATATGCTACAAAGGAACTGAGTCAGTCAGACCACAAGACTGATGTGAGCTGTGGGATACAAGACATGCATACGGAGCATTTCTAAAATTATAGAAATGACTGTGATAGTTTAAAACTGGTTTGATTACATGCTCTTATCTACTGTAATTAATAAGTAATATTCTTTGGAAAGTGTTCAGTTCTTTTTTAATCACCTTGTACACTAAAGTACACAGTATCCATCTATTTCCATATCACTTCTTGGCTCAGTTTGGCTACTCTGTCTTAAAAGTTCCTTCCTCATGATTCTTTCTCATCTTTGTTTCTGTTGCATATGTCTCCTCCATTCAACAGACTCAGCTCTTCCTTTCCATCAAATTACCTTCAACTTTTTTTTTAGTGAAGTTCTATATTTGCTGGAGTATTTAAGTCACTGAAAATTTAACATGTTTTTGATTATGCTAGTATTTTTTGCAGGATCATTATTGCTTTTTATTAATGTTCTAGTAAGAAAGCTGCTTGGGTTTTAAGTTGTCTGTTCCAGGACTATTTCCCACAAAAATCTTGTTATTTTTAATGTGTAGGTTTTTAAGGAATATATCTCTATACCTATGTATACATAAGGTATGTATATAATACAGATATATAAGGTATAGGTTTTTAAGGAATATATATATACACACACACACACACGTATGTATATTTTTAAGAGCACATATATATATTTAGCCAGTAGACTTTGCTTATTTTAAAATTCTGGAGAGACCAAAGTTTCATACAGATACAAGTACTGACACAAGTGGAACAAAATTTAAATTTTATATCTTATAGGAACAAAATTTGAATTTTAATATAGCTATTATCTTATAGCAACGAATAATCACTACATTTTACTACAGATATGGTTTAATACAGCTATTCAGCACAAAATTACTACCTATAATTTTCACTTTCCTTTAAACTGATACATAAACAATACTTACTGGCTGAAGCCTGAGGTTGCATGCGAGGTATTCCTCCATTTGGCACTTGAAAATTTGAGTCACTTCTGCTGCTTTTCACTGAGTCAACTTGTGTACTAGATGTTCGGGACAGGTTTGGAAGACTGCGTCTCAGTTTTTCTAACAACAGAATTTAATGAAAAACAGAATTTAAGAAAGAGTTAAAATATTAACTGGCATTCACAAATCCTTTATTTAAGCAGTCAGCATATTTTAGAAGAGTTAACAGGAAGTATATGTCTTATAAAAATAAACAACTCAACCGAGGTTCTATAAATGGGTAGAACCTTTAAATGAACTATAAATTAATTAAATCAAAACCTACATACAGATCACTTCATGAGGACAAAGCAACACTAACATAATCAAGTATAATTCACTTTCTCCTTTATTTGTGTGTTGATTAACTAGTAATAAAACAGTAAACTGACTAAATTCTTGATCTACTTATCTGAAATACAAAACCTTAGTAAGAATTGTGTTACTTTCATATTGAAATATGAAGGACAATTGTTTTTCCAGAAACATTCTAATTACCTTCATTTTTGACACTGCTTGTCTGTAAATCTGTGGGATGACCTTGAAGTGAAAGGCGAGGTTGTTGTAAGCGGCTAATCATAGGCTGTGGGGACACTCTACTATATTCTATTCCCCGAGCAGGAGATCGTGAACGAGGTGAATTTCTGGGTGATTGCTTAGGTGATGGTCGAGGTGAATTGCGTGGTGATGGTGAAAACCTGTTAACAGCAGGGTATACTGCATGATGCATATTGTCATCTTCATCATCTAAACTTTGCGCATCAAGTTCCTGATCACTAAAAGTACCCCGTCTTGTAGAATTGCAAGATGAACCAGAACTGCGCCGAGATGTGGTGGCTGCATACTCTTGACGGAGACCTGACAATAATGAATGCGTTATTTCATTTCTTTAGGTATTTTAAACATTTAAATATTTTTGAAGTTTAAAAGCAAAAGAGTGTCACTGAGAAATTCAAACAGGGTATAAAGTGTAAAGGAAAATTCCCTTTCCACTTGAATCATCTTAGGTATCATCCCATATAATGATGCCTAAAACTTTTAAAAGATTATTTTTAAATTGAATGAAATTCTATAAACTTTTGCCCAATCCAACATTTTCTTCTTGAATCTGAAATCTATACTAGAGGGAGAAACCATAAACTTAAAAATATTTCTACTCCTAAAGACAATAATCGAAATTTGAGATCAACATTTAAGAAATATTGAGGGAAAACAATTACTGTGCAACCAACGAAAAGAATACACCAGTGGATAAATAAACTCCCTGGACACTAATTTCTTCAAACTGATGTTATCGATGAAGGAAACTTCTATCCTACCCTCAAGAATTCAATACTTGGGCATGAATGAATTTCAACTGCTTCATCCAAGAGACTTCAGTAAAACAAGCTTAAATTCTAAGCCATCAAGTACAAATTTTCAAAGGAGTCCCCTATGTATCTTGACACCTCCAGAAACACCCAAGGAACCTTAGGCCCTTCAAACAGTATAAAAACTTCTGGAACAAAAACAAAAACAAATGATATATATTCAGTGAAGAAAAAATTACTATTCAAGAAAAGTACAGAATTTAGCTAATATTTTGAGCAAGTCCTGCTAACTATGGACAATCTAGTTTAAATGATCTCTATTACTGGGCGCCTGGGTGTCTTTGTCGCTAAGCATCTGCCTTCGGCTCAGGTCATGGTTGAAGGGTCCTGGGATCAAGCCCTGCATCAAGCTCCCTGCTCCACGGGAAGCCCGCTTCTCCCTCTCCCGCTCCCCTTGCTTCTGTTCCCTCTCTCGCTGTGTCTCTGTCAAATAAATAAATAAAATCTTTAAAAAAAAAAGCTCTACTATCATAGAGTAGTATTCAAACTTTAAGATGGGTACTCATACACAGAGAGTGCTATCGATATGGTACCCAAAATAGTGGGTGAGAATCACACCAGGGTATCTATAAAACTACAGATTCCTTGGGCCTATCTGGTCCTTCAGTCAAGTTACAAGTTTCACTAGTAACTGACAAGTTACATAGTGTCTCGTTCCAGCAAACACAGCATTAAAGTCATCTAACAAAAGCCAGCGGACTGTTTTATAAAGAAAAACACAGATCCCAAAGCAGGCCCTCCAGTACTAGGGGGATCCTAAGGAAGCAACAATCTCTATAGGATTGTCTGTTTTTAATATTAAAAATAAGGGGCTTAACCAGACAACAGCCAAAATCTGTAATTCTACATTTCCGTTAAAAAACAAAAAAACTGAAGAAATGATACTTTAAAACAAATATCATTCACTTAAAAAAAAAATAGGCATTTTGAAGGAAGTATCAGACATACTTTTAGCATTTTTTTTTTTTTATTCACTAGAAAAAGAAATATTTGTGCATGTGGATGGCTTAAAAAGAATGATTAAAGTAAGGCTAAGGGGAGCCCGGGTGGCTCAGTTGGTTAAGTGTCTGCCTTCGGCTCAGGTCATGATCCCAGGGTCCTGGGATTGAGCCCTGCTTCGGGCTCCCCACTCAGTGGGGAGCCTGCTTCTCTCTCTCCCTCTGCCCCTCCCCCTGCCTGTGGTGTCTCTCTCTCTCTCTGTCAAATAAATGAAAATAAAATCTTAAAAAAAAAAATAAAGTAAGGCTAAAATTTTTTTTTACTTGTTACCAAAACACAGTATGAAAGTGACAGCAAATAGCTGGTTGAGTTTCTAACAAAATCCTGGGGTCTAAAAAGTCAGAGTTCAAAGAAGAAATGAGAGAATTAACTCTAAGTTATAGTGAGGAAGCATTCTTTATTCTTTCACATCCCTGACAAAAACTAGTCCCTCGCTAGCTGACAATAGCACAGTCTCAATGAGGAGTTACACATAATTACATAAGAAAAAGGTACCATATTATTAGTTTCTAGGGCTTAAGATAAAGCAAGCACCAAATCTTTCTATTTTTCTATGAGAAACTGTAAAAATGGGAAATGAATCAGAATAACATTCTGCAGTTTCTTAATGTTATAGCTAATAAAACTACATACTTATATAAAAGGGCCTAAAGCAGAAAGTATTTCAACTAAATTATAGCAATGCTCCATTACCCTCAGCCAACTTCAACACTCTGAAAGGTGCGCCTCAAGAATCTTTTCATTGTAAAGGTTAAGGGGGTCACTTTAGAGAGACTGCTTACTTCACAGTTAAGCTTGTAGTATCTTACGATAAAATGTATAGGCAAACCATAATACTTTACTGAATATATAAAACAATCCCGTCCTTTCTAAAAGCCTTTTTAAAATATGTACCATTATCATTATAATTAGGTGAGGGTACTTCACATGTTCAAGTTTTGCTGTTTCTTCAGGTTGAGAATCTTTTTATGACCTCCTGAGAATGACATTGTGATTTTTTTAGCCTGATTATTTTCACTTACTCTTTTCATTCCTCATCTTTATATACTCACATTTTGTGTGCTGAAATATTTTTTCAAATATTTTATACACAAATGTGAAAAGTGCAACTATATAACAAATAAGAATGAATTGTCATTTGCGTTAAAAAGAAATGTATATGGACGCCTGGGTGGCTACGTCAGTTAAGTGTTTGTCTTTGGCTCGGGTGGTCCTGGGGTCCTGGGATCGAGCTCCGCATCAGGCTCCTTGCTCGGCGGGGAGCCTGCTTCTCCCTCTGCCTGCTCTGCCTGCCACTCCCCAGCTTGTGCTCTCTCTCTCTGACAAATAAATAAATAAAATCTTAAAAAAAAAAAAAAAAAAGAAATGTATAGGCAATAATAATACTCTTACCACCATCTTATAATGAGAGCCAGGGCATCCATGAACCCTTAAAATAGTATGAAAAATTTTGTGCATATGTGCGTTTTGGGGATGGCAAGGGATATAATTTTTATTAGATTCTCAAAGGTATATGTGACCTAAAAAGTTGCAAGGACCACTCTGAACCAAAGCAATATCATATGCTTTACCTCATTTAATGTCATAATTCCAATTTTCTCATTAAGGTCTTTTTTTTGTAGTCTATACCATATATTCTGAGAGTGATGATATATGCCCCGAAGGGGGGGGATAACTGGTTCTTGGGGTATGAAAAAAATCTTAGATATCATAATAATTTGTGGTCTTCATTGTACATAAAGAGATGCAGGGTGTATCTGTGATATTAAAATGTCATGGTGGGAGATGGTAGGCAAAAAAGGAAAAAAAAAGTCTGAAAAGGTTCTTGGGGGGGGCTAATGGAAAAAGGTTGAGAAACACTGGTCTAGAATAAGAAAACACAAAGTAATAGAGTAATAACTACTCTAGAGAGTTCCTGAGCAAAGTAACATGCAGGGTATGGTTACCAGTCATTGAAGTAGAGTATTACCTGCCTTTCTTTGCTCCTCACACAACAAACTTTTCTATGTAAAATGAACTCTGAAAATAAGCTGATGAACAAGCAAGTCTATATGTTGAATAAGCCTCTGAAATTTCAACATTTCTATTACTATTCCACAACATCTTAAGACCTATTTAATAACCCCAACAAAATTATACCTCAACTAGACCTCAACTTTAACAATTAAAATACTTACTTTCTTCCTGCATCCGAGCCAGAATCTGTACATCAGTTACATCATTTAGCTTATAATTGGATCCAATTGAATCTTCATCTAATTCTGAAGCACTTAACTCACTGTCTATAGAGGACTGAGGGCTGAGTGGAGGATTTCTGTCTGATGAACTTTTCAAATTACCTTAAAAAAAAAAAGATTTGAATTTTGGTGAAACAAAAACTGAATAAACATCTGTTCTAATTGATATTAAATCTCTGCTTCAGTTCACCATTATTCTGCCTTCTCTGTTTAAAAAATTCCCAAATATTGAAATTAAAAGTTGACCTTATTAAGAATAAAGAGGAATGGGGTGCCTGGCTGGCTGAGCGGTGAAATGTGTGACTCTTGATCTCAGAGCTGTAAATTTGAGCCCCACGTTGGGTGAAGAGATTACCTAAAAAAAATCTTAAAAAAAAAAAAAAAAGAATAAAGAAGACTCTAGGGCTCTAGGGACTCCTTCATATGTTATGGCATAAAAACAAAACATTTTCATTTTAACCATAAATTATCTATCCTCTTATGAAACAATTAAGCTTTTACCACAGTGCTTGGCAAGCAGGTGGTGTCTATACATGTTAGAGGATTCCAGCTTTTAGAAGACAGCCAGTTAAACTGCTCATAAACAGATCAATTTATGATGGGTTTTCTCCTAATACAGTCATTAGCAAACACCATCATCTTTTTCCCTGAATAAAAGCATCTACTTTTCCTAAGCAAGAAAACTATAATTTGAGGAAAATCAAGATTCCTTAGAGATTTAGGAACAAACCAAAAAAAGAACACTAGGCTCATTTTTCCTACATTATGCCATGTTTACAAAATTCCTTTGTCAAACTAGTAATGAGGATCCAAAGAGTCCTCTGAAGTTTAGTAGTGAAGCACAAAGATGGAATAAAGAAAATAACCAGATTACAAAAAGCATTTAATCACTCAAAACAAAAAGGGGGATAGAAGACAGGTCAGAGGAATAAAGGATATACATAACCAAGAGTCTAACCTATTTCTAAGGAAATGCTTTCATCAGATCAATAACTTCTGGTGAAGCATAAAATCCCAACACTGTCACTAATATTTCTAATACAGATTTATCTGAAATGCTTGTTTCCCAGAATTCTTTACCGTAAAAGTCAACTTTCACTGAGTGTTATATGTAACTGATGAATCCCTAAATTCTACACCTGAAACCAACTTTACCATATATGTTAACTAACTAGAATTTAAATAAAAACTTGAAAAGAGAGAGAAAAGTTAGCTCCAACATGAAAGGAATATAAGAAAAGCAAAACAGTTAATGTTTATACCATCAAGAAGAACACAGTACATATGATAGGGAAAGTAATACAAGGTCAGGCTCAAACAGTGCCCAAATAAAATTCTTTATATTAAACAAATATTTTTTAGTATACAGTCATGGGTGAAATAAATAGCGAGTAACAACTTATGTACAAAGCAAACAGCAGAGTCAAAAAAATCATTAGACTAGGGAATATACAGGTCAAAAATTTGAGGTGGTTAACAATAACCTTAATTTTTAAGGAATCAGCCATAAAGATAGCAGCAGTAAGAGTTAACCAGTGAGTGAATTCTGAAGAACAGTAAGTTAGAGAGTAACATCTCAGTCAGAACCACAGCAAACATTCTTTCTCTGAGTTACAGCAGTCTATCCCTCCCCTATCATTTAGGGCTCCGCTCTGTCAGCACATTCACATACGGCCTTATATTATTAGTTAAGTGCAATATCAAAGCTTAGTAAATAAAGCTTAAATTGTTTAACAAAATAAGTGAAAATAAGAGCTCTTAATTTTAGGGATGCCTAGGTGGCTCAGTTGGTTAAGTGGCTGTCTTCAGTTCAGGTCATGATTCCAGGGTCTTGGGACAGAGCCCCACACCAGGCTCCTTGCTCAGTGGGGAGCCTGCTTCTCCCTCTGCGTCTACCCCTCCCCCCTGCTCGTGTGCACACTCTCTCTCTCTCTCACTGACAAATAAAATCCTTAAAAAAAAAAAAATAAAAGGAAAATGCTATTTTAAAAAAAGAACTCTTATTTTTAGCTTGTACAACCCAATCAAGCTATTCAGCAAACATCTATTGGTTAAAAGAATCAAAAGCTTGTTAATCTAATCAAGCAATATATACAAACTTTGAGGTACATGCTTAAGAAAACTTTATGGAGGTAACCTGGTTTATCTGTATCCCTGGTGCCTAGAATAGCACCTGGTGCTCCTCACTGATATTTTCTCTAACCACTTAAAAGTTTAATAAAAGAACTTGAACAACTGATAATTCCATACTTTTTTGAGGTAGGGCAGTAAATTCCTTAATTATTCCATTTCATTTTCTCCTTACCTGAATTTCCAGGAAGTATTAGCTGTTTGACTATAGGAGGTCGCACTGGGGTTGAGGATGGAGAATTGAAACCACTGCTGTATGGGCTACTTGCATTCGGACTGTAAGGACTTGCGTAACTCATGGAGTTGAAAGGATTATTATATAAATTCTGCCTCTTGAGAGCTGTGTTAATGAGAAGGGGAGAAATCAAATTTAATAACTGAGAAAAGTTCACATTTTACTTAAAAGTTTTTCTTATTGGGAAATTCATTAAGTCATTATCGCAATTTATAGAAACATTCTTACAGTAGGAGAAAATACATATAATACATATTAAGAACTCCAACAATATATTTCCATTATCTTCAATTGTGCTATGCAAATAAAACAGTAGCCACACCAAACAACATAAATAATATAACAAGAAGAATATCTTCTCAACAAATTATTAACCATTAAATTAATTTAATTCTATCTTGTTGGAAAGTTTGTTACAATTGTATCAACCCTGAATAGCCTTAAAAAATAAAATGAATGAAAAGGTTTATTTGTGTTTTCTCATTTTTCTATAACAAACACGTATTGCAAAGAAAAAGGAAAAAAAAAAAAACCCTATGAAATGAGATTTAAAAACAGTCTTTCCAGGGGCGCCTGGGTGGCTCAATCGGTTAAGCGTCTGCCTTTGGCTCAGGTCATGATCCCAGAGTCCTGGGATAGAGTCCCACATTGGACGCCTTGCTCAGTGGGGAGCCTGCTTCTCCCTCTCCTGCTCTCCCTGCTCATGCTCCCTCCCTCTCTCTCTCTCTGACAAATAAAAATCTTTAAAAAATTTTAAAAAATATGGGGTGCCTAGGTGGCTCAGTCGTTTAGCGTCTGCGTTCGGCTCAGGTCATGATCCCAGGGTCCTGGGATCGAGCCCCACATCGGGCTCCCTGCTCAGCGGGGAGCCTGCTTCTCCCTCTCCCACTCCCCCTGCTTATGTTCCCTCTCTTGCTGTATCTCTGTCAAATAAATAAATAAAATCTTAAAAAATTTAAAAAATAAAAATAAAAAGTCTTTCCAAAGTTTGGATTTTTGAAAAAAATAAAGCAATAATGACTACTTAGGCCAGGTTAAGGTCAAACATGTGAGAATCCTCTTTTTAAAAAGAAAAAAAAGCCTCCCCCCGAACCCCAGTTTTCTGACCCAAGGGGAATACTTCTGCCAAAAGAGGAAAGAAAAATTTATGCTATGCGTATAAAATTACAGAAACAGTACAAAAGTAGAACTAAGATATTGAGTGCAATTATATACAAGAAAAATTAATACTTAAAATAGTATTTCTTTATTCTATTCTAAAATCCATAGCTTATTCAATATTTCAGACCATTGGCCAAGCAATATGTAGAACGTATAGACAAATGTGACATGGCACTATTTTTCAAGAGGCTTACAACCAAGTAGTGCAGGCAGAAAAAAAACAATGACTTCAGGGCAAAACGAAATGAGTACTGTCATAAAGGTGCAAAGAGCTGTAGAACTTTTGAGATAAGAGTAATTCCTTACAATTGAGAGAAACCAGGTAAGCTTTTTGGAATGAGGCACTGGAGCAGTCTTGAGAGGATGAGCAGCAGTTTGACAGACCACTGAAAATGAGCAAAGTGTGTGCTTTCATCCATGTTTGTAATAGGAACAAAAGCAGTGCCTTGAAAATACACAGTATACTCAGGGAGAAAGAGTGAGTAATATAGAAAGGTAAAACACATAGCTGAGGGACAAAACAGGAAAACATGGCTGGGCTAGGTCATGGAAGTCCTGGAAACTATGCTCAGGAGAATGAACTTTATTCACATCCGTGAATTTTGAGCAAGAGTAGTATGATCCAAACAGTTTAAGAAGAAAACTGAAGGGGGCGCCCAGGTGGCTCAGTTGTTAAGCGTCTGCCTTTGGCGGCTTAGGTCATGATCCCAGGGGGCTCCCTGCTCAGCAGGAAGCCTGCTTCTCCCTCTCCCACTCCCCCTGCTTGTGTTCCCTCTCTCGCTGTGTCTCTGTCAAATAAATAAAATCTTTAAAAA